AAGGGTGTTAAGTCCCTAGGTGTAGCAGGAACCTATGTTTAGAGTTTTCCTTCCCCATTGATCGTATGCTAATCAAGGGCGGTAAGTCCCTGGATGTAGTGGGAATCTATGCCTAATTTTTTTTCCTTCTTTCCTTCTCTCCTTCTGTGATGCATTTTTTCCCTTAACTGATTCAAGACTAAGTTGTAGGATGAGGATTGTAGTAGGAATGTGTTACTTATTTATTTGTGCTGTCTACTGAAAACTTCCTGACCACAGGATTAGGACAGCTGATATCCTGCCTCAAGGTGAAACAAACAGCATAATTATCCTTGGAAATACCCACTTGACCATGACATAAAAAGTCTGTGCCAGAGTTTGTGACTGCTTCTGTATAAGTAAAAGGGACAGCTTTCTTGCATTGTCCATTATGATCCTGAAATTGTAGTGGTCCATTTCTTTTCTCTATGCCTACTCGACTCACCCTTCTCGAGTTCCGAACTCATCTGGAGCTGGACTCTGGCAATAATACTTGACAGTTCACATGAGGGCTGCGGGTGGGCTGGGCTAGGTTAGGACACTGCAACCACTGGTGAGACCTGGGACTAAGGACAGGCCATCTCAGACTGGGCTGCGGCGCCTGCTGACACATGCAAGACGCAGGACTTAGAGAAGACCTAGTAGGGGAACTCTGGGGACTCCCTTGCTGGGCTGCTATTTCTACTGTTGAGCATTAGAGTTGCACTGAAGGTGAAAAGCCAGGTTGGGCTAGTTGTAATATCTGTTGGCATGGCACTTGCTGGCATGCATAGGAGCCAGAATGGGTGCTGTCCAACCAAGCTAGGCAACGGTGCCAGTTGGCAAGTGCCAAAACCAGGCATGAGTCATGTTAGGCTGGACTGTTGTAGCCCCTGGCAAGAGGATTATTGGGTGTTGCCTTGACTAGGCTGTGGCACCCACTAGTACGTATATGGTCCTGGTCTGTGATGGGGTGGCTGGGTCGGGCCGCAGCACTCACTGGTTCAGGTGGGATACTGGGCTTAGGCAGAACTGACCAAACCGTATCTATCAGTGCATTGATTGGCTGGTGCAGGTGACAAACTGAACCTGACCCTACATTGGCTGGGGCACAAGTCTGTGGTTACCCTAGATGAAGTTGCCTGGGAGACTTTCCAACTAGACCACTGGATTCAGACCCTTGGCCAAGATGGAAAATCACAGGATGTACAAGCCGACCTTTGGGTGCATATTGGGACTGGGCTTCAGTTGCTGATGCCTGTGCAGTGGATGGCATACCCAATTACACATGGGAACGTGATGGCCAGGTCACGTAGGCCAAAAGAGGACATCAATAGGATGGAAAGGAGAATGTGTTGGACCACTCTCCTGCCCAAGCTTTACAGAAGGCTCCTGGGTCTATGGATGCTCCAGGGTTGATAATATTTTCTCAACCATGTAGCAACAAAACCGACAATGTCTCAGAACTATCCAAACCACTCAAGTAACACCCTCAGAACACTCTTTCCCACATTGGGGTCTCCAGGGCATTGTCAAAGGATTGTCCCTCAGCCTCAGGTACTGATGTAGTTTGACAACAAGGAACAGCCTCTCCTCCTTCTCTGTGGTTACAGGAGGAAAAAAAAAAAAAGACTGAAATTTGTGTCCCATACATCTTCCTCCACACCTGACTCTTTTCCCACTCTAATCAGAAGCCTACATGGGCATACTTCTCTCTCAACTATGTTAACACTATTAAAAAGCAAAATTTTAAAAAATACTGGCATATATGCATCAGGATATATGTACAGGAACATTTATAGCAGCATTAATAATATTCTGAATTCAAGAAAATCTAAATCTCAACAGACTGTATACATAAAATATGATATATTCATATATTCACAAAAAAGTATTTATAAGAACAAAACTTAATAAACTGGCTTCATAGAGCATACATGAATTCTTAATTAAAAATAAACATTGGATGAAAGAAGTCAGACAGAAAACATGTTATAAAACACAAGTTCAAATCTAGAGAAAATGTAGATTCTAGCAACACCTAGTAGAATTATAACGCTACAAAAATGGCAAGTCAGGATAGTGGTTATCTTTACAAGTGGGATAGGAGTTAGTATCCAGGAAGAGATGAGGCAACAGTTTGTAGAGTTTTGATCATATGCCATTTCATGAAGTGGATGGTATTTGTGTGGCATTTGCTTAATAGTAATTCATATAACAATCATATGCACTTTGTGTAATTTTCTCTATGTATGTGTATTTCACAGGAGAAAAGCTTGAAAAAAATTACAGTTGCTTCCGCCTAGGCAGGTAAACGTGTAAGCCCAGTGTCTGGTTATGAAGCGAGTGCAAGACGGTGGCTTGGACCAGGGTTTCCAGATACCAACTGAAGACTTGCTTTACAGGCAGGGGTAACTAAAGTCAGTGTGCAGTGTGAGAGGAGAAAAAGACAGCAAGCACACAGACCAGTATACAGTGATAGAGCAAGTAACTGAACTCCTTGGGTAGGAAGCATTAACATCAAGTACCCAGTTGTTTGCTACAGGGAGGGCTTTGTGGAAAGGCCCAGAAAATGAACCATGTCACAATGTATGGGGAAAATGAACGAGGGAAAGATGAGACATAAGGGGAAGTAGTTGATGGTCCACAGGTTTCATGGGATGAATGTGTGTTGTTTTGTATTCTTGGTACCTGAGCTTGAGACATTTCCTACACTTTCTAAAACGGATTTTTATCTGCTTACCATTTTCATTCAGATCTACTGTTAAAAGTGCAACACATTCCTTCAAACACAGTAGAGATCCCTAAATTCTGACTGAAGCAGGTCTTTTTTTCATTGTGATGTAGTAGGTGCCATATGGACTACGGTTGTGTCCTGGCCATCTGAGACGTGAACCAGCAGAAGGTATCTCTCTGTGTAACTCTCACATAAATTAATAACATGCTTCCCCCGCCCCAAAAGATCTATCTATCTAAAAGAGTTGGAGTGGGGACAGAGATCTTCCTTCTGCTGGTTCACTTCCCAGAAGGCTCTAACAGCTGAGGACTGTTGCAGGTGGTAGCTTACCCCCCTGTGCCACAAGGTTGTCCCTGAACTATGTTTTTGAACATGCACTTAACATACCCCCTAAAATCTAAGATCAATCATGGTACCCAGCATGCCAAACTCATGATCCTTGTCATCTACAGTTTCTGTGTACTTCAGAATACATATTAGTTTAGTTTGAATGTTAGGATATTACTGGAAATTATTGTACTGCTACAATTTTTTTTTTCTCATAAGGTAAACTCAATGGATATGGAAATGGGAAGGGAGGTAATAAAGAACGACTAGAAATAGAAGTTTGTGGAAAGAGACCCTTCTCAGTTCACTTTTTCTAGGAAGGTTTCCTCTAAGAGTCAAACTTAACCTTAGAATTATCCAGAATTAGGCAACAGAAAGGAGGATTTTTTTTTTTCCAGGATTGTGGGACCCTGAGGATGGACAAAGCAGGGACTGTCAAGGTCTTTAGTTACTCAACTAGCATATCATCAAGGCACAGCCCTCTGCTTTATGAATGTTAATGTAAAATTGACTTCTGGGTGAAGCAGTGTGAATTTTGGTTTGACAGGTGTTTGAGTCTATAAACACCCTAGGATTTCACCTAACCTGACTCATTTACTTTTCTTAACAGTGTGCAAGGTCTTTCTCTTATTGGGGGGGGGGGGGTGCAACTTGACCAAGATGGACAAGGCAGAATTGGAGGCAGGGCATTTTGACTCTATGATCAGCACTCTTGACCAACATGTCAGACCACACCCTTCTCTTAGAACACAAGGAACCTGCCTAGGCTTCAGCCCACGGTTGTTAATTTAGGAACTAAGGTGGTATTTTCAACAGGCAATTTTCACAAAGCCAATTAATCTCCTTTGTTTCACTCCTGTTGCTTAATCCTTTGGCCAAGCAGTGACAGCATCAGACTCCCGTGACTCCCAGAGTTAACAATATGGCTCATGTTGGTTTCTTTTCTTAAACCTAACAGATATTTGCTATCTTAAAAAATTCGTGATTTATTAATATCTATTGGTCAGCCTCTTCAGTTACAAGTCAAGTTGAAAAAAAAAATCCGCTGGGGTTTTCCTTAAGGATCCAGGATACACAATTAGGATTTCCAGCTTTGAAGAATACGGCAGTATCTTGAATGTACTGGACCTTGTGTGCTACTAACTGCACATTAAGTTCCAGCCCTTGAAGGGACGTTCAGAAGTGACTAGTACACACACTTTATCACCAGGGGCCACAATAGCTGTCATCTCCTTCATCTCCTGATATATGTGAGTAAGAGAAAAAAAAACAAACAAGAAAATTATGTGACTTGCGAATCGGGAGAAGATGGAGAAAGGTGTTGCAAAGGCACTTTCCCGCTAGGCTCATCCGTTCCTACTCCACATGGAGTAAAATGACACGTCCCGGACTAACTGGAAAAGCAGCCGATCCTAACTGGAGGCAAAGAGTTGCTCCAATAACGGGCACAGCGTAGAGCGAAGCCTGTGCGCTCCCTTCCACCGGGCGCCTCCGAGGGTGCCCCGCTCCGGGGGTCCGCCTTCGCCTCCGCCAGGGCAGACGGGCAGGGCCGGGGGCGGCCGGCGCGCGCGCGAGCCCGCGGAATGGTCAATTCCTCCTTCACTCGGGGCCCCCTGGCCGGCCTCCCTCCGCCTCCCGGGGACTGAGATTGGAGAGGAAGTGGGGAGGCTCCAATCCGTCCCTCACTCCGGCGCCCTCATGCCCCCACCCGTCTCCTCAGCTCGGGGCTTCGGCGCCCCTCGCGCGCGCCCCTCGCCCCGCGAAAGGCCCGGGCGACGCGGGAGGCCTCGCGGAGCCAAGCCCGTGGCGGCCGACGGCCTCCGCCCGGCGCCCTCGTCCACGGCAGCAGAGGCCGGCGGCAGCGAGCCAGCAGGAGAGCCAGGCCCCACAGCAGCCCCGGAGACCGCGGCGGCCGGATGCGCGGGCGCGTCACTTCCGGGCGGTGCAGCGGCGGCCGCTTGGAAGATGGCTGCGCCCTGTGGCTCGGAGCTGCCCGCCAACTCGCCGCTAAAAATCCCGAAGATGGAGGTGCTCTCGCCGGCTTCTCCTGGTGGCTTGAGCGACGGAAACCCATCGCTGTCCGATCCTTCCACGCCTCGGGGTGCCTCCCCGCTCGGGCCAGGCAGTGCGGCGGGCTCGGGGGCAGCGGCGTCCGGGGGTCTCGGGCTGGGGCTGGGGGGCCGCAGCGCCGCCTCGTCCTCGGTCTCCTTCTCCCCTGGTGGCGGCGGTGGCGGGGCCGCGGCAGCCGCCGCCGCCTGCCGGGGCATGTCCTGGACGCCGGCCGAGACGAACGCGCTCATCGCTGTGTGGGGCAACGAGCGGCTGGTGGAGGCGCGGTACCAGCAGCTGGAGGGAGCCGGCACGGTGTTCGGCAGCAAGGCCCCGGGGCCAGCCATGTACGAGCGCGTGTCCCGGGCCCTGGCCGAGCTGGGCTACGAACGGACCCCGTCCCAGTGCCGGGAGCGCATCAAGGTAACCGGCCGCCCCGGCCTGGGGCCGCGAACCACAGGCAGAGAGAAGGCGGGGCAGCGGGCCTCGGGGGCGGGGGCCGGGCTCCGGGCCCGGGGGGCGACGCGCGTCTCCTCCGCCTTTTTCTTCTCTCCCTGGCAAAGGGGCTTTTTTTTTTTTTTTAATTTTATTTTTTTCCAGATGGCCGCCAGCCCGTAGGTTTCCTGAGTTTGAAGTTGGGCGTGTCTGCCGCCGCCCCTCTTTCTTGCCAATTGAGGATATTCCTGCGCTCTGAAGTTGGTAGTTTGTCATTGCGCGTCGCGCGGCTGTCCCTGTGCTGCGGGCACCTCGCGCCCCCTCCAGGACCCCTGCGCCGCAGCCCCTTGCTTTGTTCCAATCCCAGGGGCTCGCAGGCAGAGGCTTTCTGGCCAAGGCAGGAATGAGGAAGGGCCGAAGGGGAGGGGGCCGTGGTGCACCCGCTGGAGTTCTCAAGAAGTGATGGAGGCAAAGCCGGCTCTAGAAAGAGCATTTGGGGACGGCTGGCCTTTGTGTCAGGGACCTGGTTTCTCACTTGCCTGTGGTCCATGTGGAGAGGACAACTCGAGATGCTTTGGAGAATTGCAAAGGCTTGCTAGTAGCCAGGCTGTGGTGTTCTTAGCATGGAGTCGGTGGGCATTGGGAAAGTTGGTCTGGAATCGTGGTTGTCGTTACCTGTGGAGTTAGGTTGGCTTGGGGCTCTGCTGCTTGTGATGAAGCACTTTCTCCTTAGATGACAGTTGCTCCCTGCTTTTAGTCACCGTGCCGGATGTGGCGACAGTAAGACCCTCAGTGTGCATCTGGCCGTTCTTGTGTTACGTGCGTGTTAAAACACAGAGGCGTGGTTTGTGCTAAGAGGAGCTTCCACCAGCTGCCTTATCATTGTGTTGTTTCTGCCGACTTCCATCTCGGCATTCATATTTGTATTCTGGGCGCATATGTATTTTAGCTAAAGTTGTTCCCTCAGACAGTGTCTGCTGAAAGATCCGAGTAGGATTCTCCCAGTTTTCATTGACCTCTACTTAGTCATGTGTCTGGGTGCTTTTCTAGTAAGGCTGGCAGTTTTTCTGGACATTCCTACAGGGATAGTCAGCCACTAAGGACAGTACTCATCACACTGAGAGCCATCCTAAGTAAGCATCATCCCACTGGAGCAGGGAAGTGGCAGGGAAGTTGGTGAGGTCCTTGCTTCAGCAGTGCTCATTTGGTGACTTTGTTGCTTAGAAACTTTGGTTCAGAATTAACTAACTGCCATTCAAGGAACCGTGGCTCATTATAACAGTAAAATAGAATTGTTCAAATACAGATCCCTCTGGGGCTTCTTATGCTTTCTCTCTCTCCCCCCTCTCTTTTTACACTGGAATGCCTTTTGAAGTTGGAGTGAATAGGAAAAACTGCTGTGCTCTGATCCTGATTAGTTGCCCCTCCTCAAAGTTGTTGAGGTTGAGTTTTTGAACTGTACTGGTTAGCTTCTATCTGTGAACTTCCCTTGAGTTGAGAAGTGCACCCTAGACATTTGTAAGTTACAGCTTGGTTGATGATGTGGTGGAAGTTTCCCAGAGGGGAGGAGTGTTTTGCTGTCAAAACTTACCAAATAAAATTTTTCCATCAAATTTTTCTCAAATGACCAGGGAATGTGTAGTTGGATTGCTTCATTTTCCACATGTGAGGAGGAAACCTAAAACAAGGAAAGGAGATTGAGCTTCTAAAAAAAAAAAAGAGGATGTTTACCTGTCCCCAGACAGGTAAGACCAAGTTGACTTCAAGCTCTTGAAGTATTTTCAGAGTATGCAGTTGATAATGGGTTCTGATCCAGCTGCAGTTAAGGATGGCAGATAACTGTTTTGGTTTTAAAGTGCTCTACGCTTAGGGATGCTAGTCAAAGAAGAAAGAACCCCGGCTCCTTTGTTGACAGTGTTGGTCCTTCCTACCAGAGTCACAAGTTCTTTAAAGTTAGGGTCTGGTCTGATCTCTCTCATTCACTGCCATATTAGTTTGTAGTGGATACTGATATGTATTTTTTAGACTTGCCAAATGAAGTCTAGAAAGGGAATTTTAGAAAGTTTAAAAATCTAGTTTTATTGAAATTGTAACTCAAAAAAGTTGACTTTGAAATCTTGTTGGAAAAATACCACTTCAAAAATTAAGCCCTCTCCATTCAGAACACTGAATATGGATGTCATCCTAAACACAGAAACAAATGTGGTTGCTGAAATCATAGTCTTCCACAGTTATCAGGTGAATGCCCAAATCACCTGATTATGCTTAGAAAAATAAATCTACAGCCTTGATCTCAAGACAGTCTCAAACTCAAAAGCAGATTCTTAGATCCCAGTTTTTAGAAATGCCCATTTAGAACAAGTAATGCAGAAAGTTCTTTCACTTTATTGTGTTGCTAAGAGTGGCAAAATTTTTTCACTGTAGGTAGCAATATATAGCAATGGAGCAGTTTAATACAGTGCAGAAAATGAAGAACCTCTAATACCAATTAATGCTCACAGCTCATGTAAATGCGAATTCAGAGGCTCACGGGAAAGGAGTATCAGTAAGTCAATCTAATTTATGCTCTAATATATTGAAACTGTGTATTAAAGGTCAATAAGTAAAGCCCAGTAAATATCCTTGACTAAGTTTGAAAGAAAGACGTTTAGAATGACCAGTTTTCCCATACAAATGTTCCTTTAATTAGATAGTTTCAGCATGTTGATGTTGCAACCTTCATCTCATCATATGAAGGCATCAGAAAGTAGAGGCTTCGGCCAGCCCTTTCCTTGACCATGCCCCCAATTAACTTTACAGCACGTCCTTTACCTTTTTACCTAGACTTTGCCTCAGTCATGTCTATACAATAAATGTATTGAATTGTAAATACTGGAAGTGAATTAATAGCTCATGGATTTTGATATAAAAGTCTTCTTGATGTTCTCTACATGCGTTGTATTTCTAAGCACTTAAGATTTTAATTTAATGAGGTTTAAACATTGGGTATTGCCACAAAGTGTTTCATTTTTTTGTCTGTCTTATGATTGGAATTTGTTCTATCACTTGGATCAAATGGATGTGTTTGAACTGCCTTACTACAGAGATTATCGTTTGTTCTGAAGTTTTGTTGCTTGTTTGTTTGCCAGAAGAAAACTTGCTGACAAATTCCAGACTAATTTTGGGAATCAGATATGTAAATCTAGGTGATATTTTTGGTCTTGTCATTGCTTGATTTTTGCCTGTTCTTAATATAGTTACTTTAAAAAGCTGATGGAAAATTGTAATTAGATAAGTCATGCACATTTTTTATGAGCCTTTTGAAAACCTTTTATCCCCTGACCAAATACTGCAGTGCATACTATGTACAGTACTGTCCCCTACGTGTTAGGACAAATAAACAAAACTGATAGAGAATTCCATAGTTCAAGAGTTTCCAACTGAAGCTTTATACACACATGCATCAAATTCTATGTTAAGACAATACTTGATTAAGTGTACTATGACAAAAGGAGACTCTTAAGTGTGATGATATCAAAGAAGGGGCTGTGATTCCATCAGCATCTGTATTGTAGTAGTTGAACGATCTTAGACTTGGAACTCATGAAAGCATTCCTTGTGAGCCAGATGCTGTGTTCACACTTCAGTCAGTAAGTCTAATGCACTGCAGAACTCATTCTCAAGTCCCACATTTTTGGATGTTCTCCAAAAATTGCCTCTTGAGAGTTGGCTTTATATCTTTGAAGCAGATATGCACTTCTAACTCTGTCTCAAGATGAAATGCAGAGTGACTGCATGTGACCTAAAACACATGCTTTTGCTGGATTGATATTGATTGCTTATCAGACAGATTAAACTTCTAGGAGTCTTCTGCCTGGTACATAAAATAATTAATTTGCTAAGAATTGCTTAGATCTATTCACTAGTAATTGTCATTATCTTGGAAATAAAATTTTTCTTTAGCATACAAATCATAATGTAGTAATAGTTGGTCTTTTTGGCTGTCAGAACTTGAGGACTTCTGGTATTTGCAGGCAAGGCTTTCCTTCTGCCAAGAAATGTGATTCACCACTTATGCTCCTTTTTTGGACTGATGTATTCCATCAAATGTTTTGTTATTTTAAAGATTTGTTTATTTATTTAAAAAGACTTATCTGTTTATTTGAATAGCAGAGTTACTAAGAGGAATAGGCAGAGATAGATTTTCCGTTTGCTAGTTCATTCCCCAAATGGCTGCAATGGTTGGGACTGGGGCCAGGCCAAAGCCAGGAGCTTGGCACTCTCGTGGAGTCTCCCATGTAAGTATAGGGACCCGAGAACTTGGGAAACTCTGATGCCTTTCCAGGAACATTAACAAGAAACCAGAATAGAAGTGGCACAGCCAAATTTCAAACCAGTGCCCATATGGGATGCCAGCATTGGAGGTGGCAGCTTTACTTGCTCACCACAGTGCCGGCTCCTCCATATCTTTCTTTTAGAAGAGACTTATTTATTTAGAAAGTACATTGACCAGGGATGGAGAGATCTTCCTTTTTTGGGGTCATTCTATAAATGCTTAAAGCAGCCACATCTGGGCCGGGTTGTTGCTAGAAGCCAGGAATTTGGTTTTGAACCTTCCACTTGGGTAGCAAGAACTAAGCACCTGGGACAGCATTTGCTGCCTCTTGGCCATGTAAGCAGGAAGCTGGATTTGAGGCACAGGAGTAGTTGTCAGGATTTGAATTGGTGCTCTGATATGGGAAGTGGGCATCTCTAGAATTGGCTTTAACCTGCATTACAATGCTTGTCCTGATTTCATACCATTAAAAAAAATATATATTCAGGTACAGTTGTCATCACGTTAACACCTGGAAACTTGTCCAGTTTCCTTGTCTGTGACTACATCAGAAACTTGGTGTATGTCTTTAAAGAATAGACCATTTTAAGAGAATACATGACTTACCTTTTTAGTGTTTATTTGGTTTATTTGGATTTTTAATGCTGTTTACCTACTGGAGAGGGATGCCTAC